AAAAATTGATGGTATTTTGGTAGGCATTGCATTAAATGTGTAGATTGCTTTAGGTAGCATAGACATTTTCAGAATAATTGTTCTTCCAATCCATAAGCATGGAATGTTTTTCCATTTCTTTGTGTCTTCCTCAATTTCTTTGATGACAACTTTATAGTTTTCTGAGTACAGATTCTTTGCCTCTTTGGTTAGGTTTATTCCTCGGTATCTTATGGTTTTGGGTGCAACTGTAAATGGGATGACTCCTTAATTTCTCTTTCTTCTGTCTTATTGTTGGGATATAGAAATGCGACTGACTTCTGGGCATTGATTTTATATTCTGACACTTGCAGTATTCAGTATTTCAGTGATACTTTCAGTATTCAGTGAAGTTCCTATATGAGTTCTAGCAGTTTTGGAGTGAAGTCTTTGGGTTTTCCACATAAAGTATCGTATCATCGGCAAAGAATGAGTTTGACTTCTTCTTTGATGATTTGGATGCCTTTAATTTCTTTTCTTTTCTTTTTTTTTTTTTTTTTTTTTTTTTTTTTTTTTTGGGTTTGGTTTTTTTAGTACTATGTTGAAATGCAGTGGTGTTAGTGGACAGTCTCGCTGTGCTCCTGACCTTAGGGAAAAAGCTCTCCGTTTTTCTCCAATGAGAATGATATTTGCTGTGGAATTTTCATAGATGGCTTTGATGATATTGAGGTATGTCCCCTCTAGCCCTGCACTGTGAAGAGTTTTGATCAAGAAAGGATACTTGTTTCTTGAGAAAGGCTTATATTGCTGTACTTTGTCAAATGCTTTTTCAGCATCTATTGAGAGTATCATATGGTTCTTGTTCTTTCTTTTATTAATGTATTGTATCACATTGATTGATTTGCAGATGTTGAACCAACCTTGCAGCCCAGGAATAAATCCCACTTGGTCATGGTGAATAATCCTTTTAATGTACGTTGGATCCTATTGGCTAGTATTTTGAGAACTTTTGCATCTGTGTTCATCAAGGATATTGGTCTATAATTCTCCTTTTTGATGGGGCCTTTGGTTTTGGGATCAAGGTAATGCTGGCCTCATAAAATGAATTTGGAAGTTTCCTTCCATTTCTATTTTTTGGAACAGCTTCGGGAGAATGGTATTAATTCTTCTTTAAATGTTTGGTAGAATACCCCTGGGAAGCCGTCTGGCCCTGGGCTCTTGTTTGTTGGGAGATTTTTGATGACTGCTTCAATCTCCTTACTGGTTATGGGTCGTTCAGGCTTTTTATTTCTTCCTGGTTCAGTTTTGGTAGTTTTTGTCTCTAGGAGTGCATCCATTTCTTCCAGATTGTCCAATTTGCTGGTATATAGTTGCTTATAATATGTTCTTATAATTGTTTGCATATTCTTCGGTGTTGGTTGTGATCTCTCCTCTTTCATTCATGATTTTATTAATTTGGGCCCTTTCTCTTTTCTTTTGATAAGTCTGGCCAGGAGTTTATCAATCTTATTAATTCTTTTGAAGAATCAGCTCCTAGTTTCATTGTTATACTGTTCTTTTGGTTTCTATTTAGTTGATTTCTGCTCTTTATTATTTCTCTTCTGTTGGGTTTAGGCTTTATATGCTGTTCTTTCTCCAGCTCCTTCAGGTGTAGGGTTAGGTTGTGTACTTGACACCTTTCTTGTTTCTTGAAAAAGGCTTGTATTGCTACAGACTTCTCTCTCAGGACTGCCTTTGCTGCATCCCAATGATTTTGAACAGTTGTGCTTTCATTTTCATTTGTTTCCATCATCTTTTTCAATTCTTCTTTAATTTCCTGGTCAGCCCATTCATTTTTCAGTAGGATGCTCTTTAGCATTTTGCTCTGTTTTCTTGGTTTTGCTCTCGATAGCTTTTGTTCCATGAACACTTTACACACAGCTCTGGAGGATGGGAATGAAAATGGTGGCCTCCCACTCCTTGGCCTCAGAGTTGCTGAGAGCTCGGGGCACCACTCTTCAGTGTGCCCTCAGAGAAAAGTAGTCAATCCCTCCCATCTCCCTGGTCTCCAGCTGCGCTCTGAGCTCACCTAGCCTGTAACCGAGTGTTTCTATCCCTAGTGCACAGCCCCGTTTGGAGTCTCCAAACCCAGCTGATTCCTGCAGCATGCTCCCGCGCCTGTCCTCCCAGAGGAGGTAGAAGGGGGTCTCTGCTTGAAGAGCAGTGGTCCAACTGCACCTTGGATCATGGTTTAAGGTAATCTTGAGCTGAGAACTCCCCCACTCGGCTCCATCTCTGCAGCCGGCTTCCCTCCTCCAATACCTGGGAGCTCTGCAAAACTCAGGCATCCCCAGTCTTCCTGTGACCCTGCGGGTCCTGAGACCACACTGTCCCCACAAATACTCCACTCCAGCTTAGCCTCTGGAGCGACATCCCTCAGTGGAGCGGACTTCTAAAAGTTCCAATTTTGTGCTCTGCTGCTCTACTGCTTGCTAGGAACTGGCACCTCGCCCCACTGTCTCTCTTCCTGTATATCGCCTTGGATTCACTTCTCTGCACGTCCTACCTTCCAGTAAGCAGTCGATTTTCTGTTCTTAGAATTGCTGCTCTTCTTCTCTTTGTTCTTGAGTTTGTAGGTGTTCAGAATGGTTTGATAACTATCTAGCAGAACTCCTGGAACCTGATGATGTTTAGGTCTCCTACTCCTCCGCCATCTTGCTCCTCCTCCCTAAATCCCGAGATTCTAATACATAAGTTTGGGATGGTCCTAAAAAAACACATTTTGTTAAAATATTAGGCTCCAGGTGAATCCTGGTCCACTGGCACACTTTGAGACACTCTGTCCGAGGACAAAAGATTAAGAATCTTTTTCTGCTTCTCCCAAGTCTTGTAAATTTAACCCTATTTTTCCAGAAGCTTGAAAATACCTAACTACTAGGCCTAGAGGTCTCTCCTCAGTCTTTGTGTTATTGTTTTTCTTGAGTACGTGGCACTGACTTTGTCACTATTTACATCTTGAAAATTATATTCTGTTAATACTGCCATTTTTGGATTCTCTCTGCACTTCCGATCTCTACAGTGTCCTCTGGCCTCTCATTTGTTTGCTCTTCCTTTATGTTTTCTCAAGATTCTGACTTTGGTCCTCTCTACAGTTCTCCCTGCATGATTTCATTCACTTCTTAGGAGTATGGAGAACTTTCATTACAACTTCAGAAATTTAGACTTTGATCCATAGATAAAAGGTTATAAAAGTTTCTGAATGATAATGTAACACTGTATGTTAACTATCCTGGGGTTAGAATAAATAATAAAGTTTCTGAACTGTGGAATATTATGGAGATAAGAATGTTCTAGGATCATTACCTTGGAGATCATCTGCAAAAAGAATTAGAGGGAGGAGTAATAGGATGAAGGGAGAATAATTAGGAGACTTATCAAACATTTAAAGTCATCACTATGGGGTGGTTTTGGAATGAAAATGTTACTTTTCTATAGATCTTCCCTTTCTGAAACCAGTATTATTTAAATAAATTAATAGGTAAGACATTTCTATTTTTTTTTTAATTTCAGTAAGTTTGGTAATGATTAAACTTAGTAAAAAATACATTTAAAGATTTTATTTATTTGAAAGCAAGAGAGACAGCATGCCGGTGAATAGGAGGAGGGGCAGAGGAGAGGGAGAGGCAGAGAATCTCAGGTAGACTCCACACAGCATGAGGACCCTGATGGGGGCTTGATCTCACAACCCTGAGACCATGATCTGGGCCAAAACTGTGAGTTGGACACTTAACCCACTGAGCTATCCAGGTGCACTAACTATGTTTAAGTATAACAAGACAGGCCCTCTGCAATATTAACCATGGATAGTAAAAATAGGACATGTCACTGTCTTAAAATACCACTATGAGTTCTTATTCTCCAAAACAAGTGGCATAGGACTCCACAGTATTTGATCTTTATACTTGATAAGTTGTTTTTTTTTTTCTTTTTAAGATTTTATTTATTTGACAGACGGAGATCACAGAGAAGCAGGCAGAGAGAGAGGAGGAAGCAGGCTCCCTGCTGAGCAGAGAGCCCGATGCGGGGCTCGATCCCAGGACCCTGGGATCATGACCTGAGCCGAAGGCAGCTTTAACCCACTGAGCCACCCAGGTGCCCCAGTAAGTTGAGCTCTTTCATTATGGAGTCAATAAATCATCATTAATTCAGACATGATTCATTAGTGGTGGGCCTTTTTAAATTTGAACTAATGAAGGGATGGTGTTTGATTTTACTTTGTATGAATATATTCAAGATATTAAAACCACATTCATTGGTAATCTGTGTCTTACAGTATTTTCTGTAATTGAACCCCTGTTGTTTCTAAATGGGCAGGTAAAATAATACTTAGAAATGAAATTCTAATTGAGACATTCTAGAATCTTAGAAAAACAGGGCAGAAGGCACATAAATTAGGTTCAACCCTGCTGCCACCTAACTCTGTAAGTAAACCAATTTATTATTGGCTGTCCTTTCTTAAGTGATCCACACTGGGAGATGCTAAGCCTTTACCAAGATCAATTTCAGTTTTTAACAATTCTCATTACAGGAAAAGTAGAAAGATGGATATTATTCCTCCCTATAATGTGATCCTGGGAAAATTATTTAAGCATTGTCTTACTTTCCCCAGCACTATCCTCATTATATACTGGGAAGATAAAAGGAGGGATCTCTTGAAAGCTCTTTGAGCACCGTGGGCCAGAAGAGCTATGGAAAGCCAAGGTGTAGTTACTCACATATCCGCTATTTCTCCTGTCTTAACTCTCTTGTCCTAGCTTCCTTGGAAATGAAAGGTGGCCATCACTTTCTGCTTAATAACCCTTCATGTAGGTGAAATTGTTATTCTCCACAAGTACTGCAAGCAAATTTTTAAAAAAATGCCTGAACTATAAAACAGTAATCTAGGGCTGTGAGTCAGCATTTCACCTACACACAAAATCAAAATGATTTAAAATAGGTAACACATAATCTTTTCAAAAGACATATACACCTCCTCAGAGAAGCTTTGAGAAAATTGGAGTTTGAAAGTTTATGAATAGTTTATTACATTTCAATAAGTGTATCATGAATCAATAAAGCAAAAGTTAAGGACAATGAGCTCATTACCAAGCCAGTTATTGATTCTCAAGTTCCAAAATAGAATAGTACAGGAAGGATACAGAGTAATGGGATTTTTGTGATAACAAAAAATGTAAGTATCTTAGAAGGACAGACCTAAAGAAATTATGACACAAAGGAATTTTTAGCAGCTACTTAAGATGTTTATCCAAGTTAATTTCTTCATCTTTTGATAATTAGAAATACGATTTGGTGTTTACTCTTCAAAATATCTTTTCAAATAGTCAGAGGAGTTTGCAAAAACTGAGTATTATCTTTTATTGATTCATTAATTCCTTCAGTTTCTTATATATGTTCCTCTCTTGATCGTGAAAAATTTACCTTATTAGCTGTCTATCTTGTATCACTACCTTCATCAGCTCAGGTTGCCCTAACAAAATACCACAGAGTGGCTGAAAAACAGAAATTTATTTTCTCAGCCTAGAGGCTGCAAGGTCAAGATCAAGGTGTCAACATGGTCAGTTTCTGATAAGGGTTCTCTTCCTAGCTTATAAATCGCCCCCTTCTCACTGCATCCTTACATGGTGGTAGCAGAGAGAGTGAGCCAGCAAGGTCTCTGGTGACTCTTCTTCTAATCCCATCACGAGGGACCCACTCTTATGCTCTCATTAACCCTAATTACCTCCCACAGTCCCAACTCCAAACACCACCAAGTTGGGGGATTTCAACATGTGAATGGGGACAGGGCACAAACATTCACTAACAGAAAAAACACTGGCTCGAAACCGTCAGATAAATAATATGAAAAAGAACAAGTCAGCTTGTTTCCAAATAATTGCAGTAGAAAGCTTCCCTTTTTCTTCTTCTTCCTTTTATGACAAGCTATGTAAGAAAGGACTTCCTAAAAAATTAACATTAATTTCACAAAGCAGTAACTTTTAAAAACCAAGGACAGAAAATGAGACACACATTATTTTGGTAAAAAACTGAGAAATACAAGTATTAATTAACTAACTGGTATATTAAATAAAAACAATTTTTAATCTTCATACCTTGTTTTTGTATCAACTAAAGATTTTTTAAAAAGATTTTATTTGCTTGAGAGTGAGAAAAAGCAGAGAGACAGAGGGAGACACAGACTCCCTGCCGAGCAAAGCCTGATGTGGGACTCAATCAATCCAAGGGCTCTGAGATCATGACCTGAGCTGAAGGCAGATGCTTAACCAAATGAGCCACCCAGATGCCCCTCAATTAAAGATTCTTAAAATGATTTAAAGCACTGGGATGCCCTGGATGTAATATAATGCACAATAACATTTCTAGATTACATTTTCACAGATATTATTAAAAGGAACAGTAAATAGCATATTGTTTTCACTCAGAATGTGGAAAACTAAAGTAGTAAAACAAAACTGACAAAACTGCAATTGGTTTGTGTGGGATTTTACCTAATTTTAATTTCATACTTCATACATTTGAGGGTATAAGAATATAAGGGTATATTAAGGGTATATAAGAATACAAGGGTATATTTTTCTTGATTGAACAAAATTCTTCATGCAAAAATACTTAAATACAGCTCTCTAAGAGCATTTCCACAATGACTATAAAGTGAATAGAAAGCACTTTTCAAGTTTTCAAGTGGAAGTGTATGGGAAAGTAGGACAAAAGGTGGGGCTGAGATTCAGAGTTTGGTGACTTGGCAAGGCAAGGTCATCCAATTAACAGGTTGCAGGCGTATGGATGGCACCCATATTTTGTCTAAAAATGCTGCAGATTAGTGTATTCAAGAAGAGGAAGAAAATCTAATTATAGTTGAGATCATTTTATAGCACAAAACAACTGCAGAAACTAACTTTTAATTTTTCAAAACTCAATTAGGTGTGTGTATGGTCCGTTGGTATCCAGCTGTAACACCTGCCTGTTCCCGTAAGTACCATGTTCCACCACAACCCCAGCTTCAGCACACTTGCTGTTGGCAGCCAGTTCTTTCTCACACAGAGTCACAAATTGGGAATAAAGTTCTAAGCCTTCTTCTTTTCCAGAGTTACAGTGATACTGCATGTTTCTTCCTTTTACTCTCCCCCCAAGGGTGGCTTGAGGGATGATCAGAACATTGCCAGGTAGATCCAATATAGACACATGCTTGCCATTTTCTGTTTCACTTAACTTCACATTTAACAGTGTATTAACTGGGTGGGGAATAAAGGGAAAACATCTTGAAGTGAGAAATAAACATGAAGAAAATGAATAATCATCCAGTCAGCAAATCTCATGTTTAAAATCTAGTTTGTTGGCTCATGCTTTTACCTAAAATCTCTATTCAGATTTAAAGAACTGCCTCATCTAAGCAAGAAAAATAAGGCAAGTTTCTTGCAAAAAATGGCATGATGTTTTAAATCCACTGCGCAGTCAAGATTTCCTAAAAATAAATTGATGAAGTAAAGGACTAAAAATTAACCGTATACCAAAAACCTCAAAATATTGTTGCCCCAGAGGGATACATTAGAAGATTCTGCCTCTTTGTTCCTTTTTATATTCCATAAGCAAACCTCATTGGAAAAAGGCCATGATGAATCCTCCTCACACCAAATTCTGCTTTACAACAAAGAATATTAAATAGAAATCTTAGAGTAACTTAATTGCCTAGAGTTCTAAGCTGAAACAAAGTTTCCAGGTTTATTCTGATTATAAACCAGATAACTTTACAGTTTCATAATCTCAAAGGTACTACTTAACAAAGTCTAATCATATGACAAATGTAACCCAGGGAGAAGAGTAAAGGTGAAGCAAACATCATCAGAAACTCACTGTTACAACCAAAAAATAAGTCAAAAGATACATTGGTATTATGTTCATATATACACAAGAAAACATGGTGTTATTATTTTTATGGCACTGATGAAATTATACTCATAACTAGTAAAAACTATCAAAAAAGCCATAAATATCTACGTGTAGCTAAAGATTTAAACTTAGAAAACCTGTTTACATCTCAACATTAGTCATTTTCAAGACAATAAACAAAAGAAACACCTACTATGAAGAGCCTTAAGGTCTTCTTGGCTCTGTAAAGTGTATAAATACCTTCTGCTTATAAAGAATATTTCTCAGGAGTACCTAGGTGGCTTGTTGGTGAAGCGTCCAACTCTTGATTTTGGCTCAGGTCAAGATCTCAGGGTGGTGAAATCAAGCCCCCTGTCAGGCTCCATGCACAGCATGGAGTCCGCTTCAGATTCTCTTTTCTCTTTCTCTGCCCCTCCGCATGCTTGCATACACATACACACTCTGTCTCTCAAATAAATAAAATCTTAAAAAAAAAAGGACTACTCCTTAGAGGACAAATGATAAACTATAGAGATCTCACACTCCTACCAGTAATTAAGCTTGAAAATGTATGCTTTCTTTTTTTTTTTTAAAGAGTTAGTTTTTTGTTTTTTTTTTTTAAAGATTTTATTATTTATTTGACACAGAGAGAAATTACAAGTAGGTAGAGAGGCAGGCAGAGAGAGAGGGGGAAGCAGGCTCCCCGCTGAGCAGAAAGCCCAATGCGGAGCTCGAACCCAGGACCCTGAGATCGTGACCTGGGCGAAAGGCAGAGGCTTAACCCACTAAGCCACCCAGGTGCCCTGAAAATGTATGCTTTCTAATAGGGTAGTCAATGGTTTCAAGTGCTGGAGGGTTTGTAGTAAATATTAGTAAGGACCCAGTATGGTTGCCCCACTCTACAAATCACGGAATTAATCTGGTAGAAACCTGCCAAGATGAACACCCAAATGAATTTCTAAGATATGCATTAAGCACTATCAATTTTCAACTAATTTCTATTTTAAAATACCTCTAATTTTCTCTATGATGAATAGGACTTTGCTATAGAGCCAGCAGTTGTTATTGATTGCTTCTAAGGAAACTGTAACTCTCCAGAGCACTTAGCTCCAAGGGAAATATCTACCCAGCTATCCAGGCCTCAGGCTAGTGACACACTAAGTAGACAATTTTGAAATTAACAGGCAGGCGAGGTTAAGTACAATTTATTATACTTCCACACACCTCCCTCTACTGGCTATAACTGAGAATTCAATTAATGTTGTTAGTATACAAATAACAGTATGTAGAAATAAACATAATACAAATACAAATGTCAGGAAGTAGAATTAAAATGAGACAATGAATTAATGGCATGTTGAAAACGCAAATATCTTAAGACAGGTTATCAATTAAGTATCTCTAATGATGTATATGGGAAGTTAAGCTTTGACAGGTCCCTGGATCTCAGTTCAATTATACTGAAGATGAATTGAGAAAGATTCTGCACATCTCTATGTTAGCCACATAACTTCAGACTTTATGGATATAACTGGTTATGTTCCCAAGGGGTACATGACTTGATTAGAAAGATATGAATTCATTTAATAAGTATGAGGTGAAGTTTAAGAGAATCCCATCACACTGGCTTACTTTGCCTAGAATAGAGGGAAGTACAAGCTAATGGTATCAGTAATAGATGGTCTTTTTTTGTTTATAACTTACACCAGCAGAATGGGATAGAATCACAGTTCTTTACTGAGAATCATAATATACACAGTTTTGTTTTAGACTGTCCTGTCCACTAAAAGAGTTAAGGTGGACCTCCTAGTTCATCACAATCTTAATGTATGTATTCAAAGTGAACTTAGACACAGATGGAAACACACAGGATTTATTTAGTATAACACAAAATGTAGTTTGGATTTGGTTGGTTCATTTCATTTTATTATGTGTAAAGTCTAAAACAACTGTAGGAGTCAATCTTAAGTCACAATGACAAAAATTTTCTTCCTGTTTTCACAGATTTCTACTATACTTTTTATGGCCAATGAAGATTTAATTCAAGGCAAAATATTAACTTAGGAAAATGGACAGAATGTCCAATACCCAAGCAATAAGTTTTGACAAATCATCCTCTGTAATGGGAGTCCTCATTTCATTTGCTCTCTTTTTTAAAGTAATCTCTATAACCAACATGGGGCTTGAACTCATGATCTTGAGATCAAGAGTTGCATGCTCCACTGACTGAGCCAGCCACGTGTCCCCTCATTTACTCTTTAAACCCTGTAAAGCTCCCTATTGTCTTTCAGAATCAAATTTCAAACCATTGTTATTGGCATTCCACCCTCACCTGTCGTAGTTCTTTAAGTCTAGTTTTCATCCCCTGACAAAGTTGCCAAACATGTTTAATGTCTTGGTATACAATTAACTCTAGGAGTTTATAGTCTTTTGGCCCAGAGGTTCCTCACTGGGCTATTTACCTTAGAGTTCCACTACTTGAAGCTCTTCTAGCTTAACTTCTGCATGTTGCAACTACCCATTTGTATAATTTATATTTCTTATTAATGCAACTAATGGGTGCTGTCCTCTACTAATAAGGAGAATATAACCTGTCCCAACCTTAGGGATAGCTTCATTAATTCAGGTATTTTTGTACATAAATATTTTATCAAATACTACCTAGTACTTGATGTGGTTTTCTGAAACTATGCGATTATCACAATGTGCAGTGCTATGGACTATCAGGGACAGTGGAGAACTGCAGACAGGTAAATTAGTGTTCAGAAGTAAGTGAACACTGACCCTGCTTTTCTATCCCTGGAGGAGGTGTGGCAGTGAAGACACTGAGCTTTGTTCAAGATCGGGAGAACCTTATGTTTACACACACTTCTTATTAAAAAAAGGTGCATAACTAGTTGGTTAAAATGTTTCCATAATAATGATGTAAGACTTAGCTGTCCTGATTTGATGGGATCCACATCTTGCACATAACATGTCACCTACACGCTCCTGTCAGGAACTGTGGGAGACAAGGAAACTATATTAAGAAATGAAGCATCTGCTTTCTTCCTATATGGCCACCCTGCATCTAACCAGTTTCTGTTAAAAACACAGCTGAATCTCAAGTGTGTTGTCTGTGTGTGCATGTGTGTGTGTACACTCTTCTAAACCAATCTATAAGCCACGTGAAATGTGCAGATATTTTGAAAGAAATCCACCACACTTGCTTACTTTAAACTTTAGAAAAGGCAAAAATAGCTAAAGCCAACAACCGTAGTAGAGTTAATTCATTCAAAACTTACCAGTACAACTTAAGGTTGTGGTTTATCTATCTATCTTCTGGTTCATCTATCTGTTGCTATTCATTTTTAACTTTTAAAAAGCAAACATCAAATACGTACCCATTTTGGGAAGAAGTTCTTTATTAGCTCCTTTGAAAAAACACACGTAGATTACTAATCCTCTCTGAACCTATGAGAAATCACCAAAGAAAACTCAGATTAGAAAAAACTACATAGGGATACAGAGGTAAATGAATAAAACTATGAAACTGTTAAATGGAGATTAAACCCAAAAGAAGAGAAATATATTTTTATAAGATTTGATTTCTTAAATATGTGAGAAAACAAAGTCATTTCCAGTATTTAATCACCTCAATTATTATTTCTTGCAAGAATTAAGTTTAAGATATAACCAAGAGCAGGGGCACCTGGGTGGGGTTAAGCCGTTGCCTTTGGCTCAGGTCATGATCTCAGGGTCCTGGGATCGAGCCCTGCATTGGGCTCTTTGCTCAGTGGGGAGCCTGCTTCTCTCTCTCTCTGCCTGCCTCTCTGCCTACTTGTGATCTTTCTCTGTCAAATAAATAAATAAAATCTTCAAAAAAAAAAAAAAAAAGGTATAACCAAGAGCAGTGAAGACCACAAGTTGTACACTCAAACATTTACTTCTAGTCAAAGTCATTATGACTATGAACCAGCCTCCTCTCCCTTAAGCTGACACTCGGAAATGCTTAGTTTGCAGAGCCCTATTTATTCAGCACCAAATGAATTCACATTATATAAGATATGGGTGATGTATAAGCAACAGCATGACTGATGTCTTTTGACATCATTACTCTTTATTCCTCCAAATCCATTTACTTGCAGGTTATAAAACTAAGGGTCTGACTCTACTTCAATAAATTCCAAGAAACTGCCCAATTATTTTTTGTTATTCTCAACGCTTCCAATCAACATAGTTATTAAGGTTTGATACTGCATTTATGATATTAAGTTCTACATCATAAGGTTGCCTGTTATCAGGAATGTAAGCTTTTTTTTTTTTTTTTTAAGAGAGAGTGCACTAAGGGGAGGAGGCAGAGTATCCCGGGCAGGCTCCACCTTCAGCACAGAGCCCACCTAAGTGGGGCTTGATCCCATGACTGAGATCATAACCTAAGTTGGACTGACTTAGGTCCAACTGAGTTGGACGCCCAAATGGCTGAACCACCCAGGTGCCTCAGGAATGTAAGCTTTTAAATATAATGACTTGGATATTTCTTTATTAGCTCTTGCAAGATATATACGGAAAAGAGAGAAATGATAAATAACTCTGATTTTGCCACCGAATCATTGAATTCTTATTTTGTAGATTAACCTGGTTGAATCCAAGAGCTATTATAAAGATTAAATAAATTAATATTTGTAACGTGCTTAAAACAGTACCTACTTCATAGCAAGAGCTATATAAGTGTTTATTAAATTAGTCTGTAAAAATAAATTTAAGGGCTAAAGCACAATTTATTTTACATTTTAATTCCCAAAGCATTTTATAGACATGATAGGGACTCAATTTATCTATTGTTTGCATTTAAGGTCAACTATATCTCATAGGCTCTATGTGTTATCTAAATATGTCTTCTATATAAACGTAACAGCAGTTTTGCACTCACAGTTGATTTACTGGAAAACAAATAACTTTTTAAGAAGTGCAAATGTGCTTCTGGAATAAGCAAAGGTCTCCAAAGCACACCCATAGTATGGAGCTGGCAGGATGAATGATACAGATATTTGCACCACTGTCACAGGCCACTCCACTGGGATTAATTTAGCACCAGCCCAAATCTCAAGCACATTCAGTCAAAACCTCAGGCATATTTGTATTTGGACACTTGAAATGTCAGAATTAACTATCTAATGATATGCAGAAAATAGACACGTGTTCTTTCCACCCACCATACTTCCTCCTCAGTAAGGTATTTTCTTTTAGTTTATTCTAGTAATAGATCTTAAGTTGTGACCTACAAATTCCCCTCTTCAAGTCAGAACCACTTTTCTTGTAGCTTCATTTGGTAGAAAACATTTTACATATACACGAAATCACATATAATTCCCACCATAGTTTTGTTTTGCTTTAAATTTTAAAGATTGATTGATTGATTGATTTTAGGAGCAGAGACAGAGAGCAAGCACATGCATTACCACCGGGAGGCGTAGAGGGAGAGAATCTTTAAGCAGACTCCCTGCTGCAGGCAGAGTCCAATGCAGAGCTGGATCCCAGGACTCATGAGATCATGACCTCAAATGAAACCAAGAATCAGACACTTAACCAACTAAGCCACTCAGGCACCCCTCTCACTGCAATTTTAAAAAAGTTCACCTTCCGAAAGGAAAACAGCCCATGACAGCAAAGGTCTAAATGAATAAAACTGAGACCACAAGTAACCTTCTAATCTTTTGACAAAACAGTATTTCCCTTAGAAAAAATTGTAACTTAGAATAGGGAAGAGCATGTCTGAGGAAGAAGAAAAAATTTACTTTCTCACTAATTCTCAGCTCTTTATATTAATTTAGATATGTGTGGGAGTGAAAGGGAAAGCTTTAGAATAGCTTTTAAAGTTTAGGAACACAAACTGATAGTTTGGAAGGCTGCGATAAAATACCTGACTTTGCATAAGGAACTGTGGCATGAAGAATATAAAAAGATTTAAAAAATGGAAGAAATCTAAATGATTACTAGTTTGGAATTTATAGTCCCAAGAGTTAACTATAAAAATAGGCAATTCTTTGGATAGGATGACAAATAAATTCCACAGTAGGAAGAGAAATCAAGACCTCAAAAAGGGGGGGGGGAGGGTTCATAACAAAAACAAACATGAATTCGAGAAAGAAATGGGTAGATACAGGAGTACTTATGTTTATAAATATTTCTAAATTAGCAGAGAGTAATAGATTCTGATTTAAGAGTAACCACCCACATATCATAGTTTATGGATCATATTTAACATGACTAGGGTTGTGTTAAGGAATGCTAGATCTGGGACCGAATCCAGCAGATGAGTGAAGATGCTACTTCTACATTAAGTTTTCGAGTAGCTCCAGAAGCCTTAATTATCAACTAATTTTTTCTTCATTTTAACTTACTCCAAAAATAGGTCAGGGGAGTTAAAGAACACTGTTTTTTGCATAAACTTGGGGCTGGCTCCCTTTAAAGGGCAAATCCTAAAGTAGAAGGAAATCCTATCTCTGCAAAGGTTTTAAACTCTCCTGAGGAACTGTGTTCAACAACAACGCAACATTCTAGTAAAAGTTGTAATCTTTGTTTCTAGTTGCAAATACATAAAATTTTTAAGTTTCATGAAAAAGGTTTCACGGGAAGTCTCATTTCTGTGCCTAGCTGCAGGGTACCTAAGAGGGAATTCCACGGGATCTGCAGCACGGGTTGGAACAGGTCTTGAACGTCTGCAACTAATCTAACCTACACGGTTGAACCAGACCAGCACTAAGGCGTGGAAAGGCCCTCGCTCGTCTGAAGCAAGAGATCTGAGACCGTCAGTCCTCAGGTCTACCGAGCGCAGGTAGGAAGAAGGTGAGAGGAAGTTCAAATTCCCGCGGTCCTAAGCAGGGGACACATTCTTCTGGCTGCGTAATAGGTACGACGGAGAAGGGCTGGGGCCGGCTGTGCAGTTCTGCGGAACGAGCCGAGCTGGCAGGTCTCTGCGGGAGGAGGTCACCGGGACGAGTGGAAGTTCGCACCGCCCACAGCACGTGTCGGCGCCACGCACCGCCCGCGCGAAAGGAGACGGGGGGCGTGGTCTCAAATTACTAAAAGATTGCGGGAAGGCCCACCCCTGCAACGCGGTACCGGGAGTGGCGGGGCTGACGTTACCTCCACCCACTGGCTCTCGGCGTCTTCCTCGGCCGGCCGTACTTGCAGCCTGGCGTGCAGACACTGCTGCAATAGCGCCCGGGCCTGAGGTATCCGGCCGCTCTCGGCCATGGTTCGAATCCGCGTGGCAACCAGATACGTTCGAGGATCGCGCAGCGCAGGCTCCGCCTCCAGCGCGCCGGGAGGACGTGGCGGATCTTGGCGGCGGGGCGTTCTAATGGCGCGTGGCACCACCCTTAGGTGGGCGGGGCCGCTGCCTGGCTCCCGGGTGACCCGGATGTGTGGTCTTCGAAGACGATACACTTAACTCCTACCCTGAAACTATCCAAATTTACAGAAAGCGCTAAGCGGTAGGCGTATACTTTCAACAGGTGGGAAGACTCATTGCATCTCTTTCCTACACACCCTTTAAAGAAAGCGATTTCAGATTAGAAAGCTTAAGTTTCCAGACGTTGAGAAATTTTAAATTTTAAGTCTTTATTATGCCCGTTATGGAGGTAGATAAATAAAACGAATCAATTGAATCACGAAACAAGCAGAAATGGAACTAAAAGGCATAAATCTTTAAAAAATTTCCTTACTCCAGTCAGTAAAACAAGATACTTCCTCTATTCAGGAATACTAGAAATCATTCTGATGCTGTAGTTTTGGAAAGATGTTGGTATGCTATGTGAATACACTCTTGGAGTGAAGTTCTTTAGAGAATATCCTGGCTAAAAATATTCGTATCCAAGAAAGTGTGTCATTGTTGATAAAATTTTTATCGTGCTGCTAAGGCGAAAATAAAACATGTTCTGATGAACATAATGATGTAAATTTTGTGGGGTTTCCTGTAAGTAGATATTAGAATGTAAATAAAATTAGACAAAGCCTTGATCTTCTTTCCCACAGAACCTGTTGCTTGAACATGCATCAGATTAGCATTATTTTTCTATGGGCTTGGAGGGTTTAGATGAGGAATAATAGTGCTACCATGATTGCATTACTCAGGTCATTGATTTGGGCTCAGTTGACACAATATGCCTATACATTCGGGTCTGTTGTTTTAGAAGATGACATCACTGACAGTGTTTTTATCCATATAAAGTAGTGTGACTGAAGAAAATAATCCATGCATATTCAACGGTCCTTTCTACACAAAAGTGAAGCTGCCTGTTTGCTGGTTATCTTGCAGGCTGCTTTATATATTTTGTAAAAACCAAAAAGCAAAATCTCATATTATCTCTGATTGCTGCATTGCAGGGTGTCCTGCATTTATTGACATTTGTCTACAAAGCACAGACAAGCTGCATTGTTTGTGTCTTTATTTCATTATAAATATTGAATCTCTTTTCTCTTCACTCCCGGACTTAAGATTTACAGGGCTATAAGGAACTTTGACATAAAGGCCATTAGCCTTGACCCAGAGTAAGAGAGGCCTATGATGTCCATTTGTATATGAGTACAGAAGACAGTAAGTTCTCTTGAAAATAGAATATATGGTTCCCAGAGATCTTTCTACAGTGAAGGGACGTTAGCAAATTGGGCAGTCCTTCCTGTGAATAGGTGGAGTCTGGTTGGTAATGGCTAATCTCTCAAAAGTCACCAGTTGCGTTAAACCTTTCTGTTAGATGAGAATGTCTTGGACACTACTGCAGGTAGTAATAGGTTGTGACTCATTTATTCTTTCCTTCCACCTGCAGAGGGCAGTAGAGAGTAGGCACTAAGGTATTCCTTGCTGTATTTTATTTTTTGACCTAATCTCTTTCCACAAAGAATTCAAGAAGGCAAGACATACATGCAATAAAACAGTAAAATGTGAATAAACATAAAGCACTAGGAGTAAAGAAAATAGAATTTTATCAGTAAGTCCCAGTGGGAGAAATTGGAAACAAATAGATAAACAATGGTTCTTGCCTGGATTGCTGAGATGGTAAGAGTATGCAGCAGTCTTCACAGATATATTACTTTTGGTTACAAAACAGTTATCCCCGGGGCACCTGGGTGGCTCAGTCATCTGCCTTTGGCTCAGGTCATGATCCCAGGATCCTGGGATCGAGCCCCGCATCTGGCTCCCTGTTCAGTGAGAAGCCTGCTTCTCCCTCTCTCACCCCCGCTGCTTGTGTTCCCTCTCTCCCTGTCTGTCAAATAAATAAATAACTAAAATCTTAAAACCAAAACTCCTTAAAAAAAAAAAACAAACAGTTGCATCCATTGTCAATCAATCAAGAAGAGTCTGTAAAGTAACCAGGAGCATTTATTTTGGGGACTTAGGGATTACAGTCCTGTACCCACAATCCTGTACTGAAATTGAAAGTGTGTTCAGAATTGAAAGTGCAAAGTGCAGACATATAAAGATAAAGCCCAGGAAGTTATATGACTTTCTTTGATTGAATTGTGATTGGTGCTGACAGAGTTAAAATGACTAATAAACAATGAGCTATTTAGCTGAGAGAGATTACATTATCTCTATTTCAGTCCAAAGTAGAAGGATGTGTTCTGGAAGGTGGTGGGGGTGCAACTGACAAAAATCAAAAGTCCAGGGTGTTCCAAAAATTGAAACAGAGGTCCATATGCCTTCTTCCATACTCCCCTGATCCTATTTTCAAATGACTCTCTTAGCAATGTTTACTTCACTTTGGAATATTTTTTCATACCATCATATATAATGTTGAGGTGGTGCACATCATACAATTTCCTTCAATTTAAAAGTAAAAGGTGAGAGACGACTGGGTGGCTCGGTTGGTTAAGCATCTACCTTAGGCTCAGATCATGATCCTGGGGTCCTGGGACCAAGCTCTTAAAAAAAAAAGGAAGTAAAAGGTGAAGTGCATCATTAAGTTGGCTCTAGGGGAGGTTGGTGGTTGAACAGGAGCATAAAAGTATGCAAGAAATCACTGTCTGAGCAGGAATAGTTTTTGAACAGTTGTAGTGCTACAGAACATAGGGCTAGTAGGTTATGCAGGAATGCATTCTAGGCCCTCTGAGATGGTACAGTGATTGATTTAGAGTTTTGTTGAGGGTTGTTTTTTTTTTTATAAGCATATAATGTATTTTTATCCCCAGGGGTAAGGTCTGTGAATCGCCGGGTTTACACACTTCACAGCACTCACCTTAGCACATACCCTCCCCAATGTCCATACCCCCACCCCCCTCTCCCAACCCCCTCCCCCCAGCAACCCTCAGTTTGTTTTGTGAGATTACGAGTCACTTATGGTTTGTCTCCCTCCCAATCCCATCTTGTTTCATTTATTCTTCTCCTACCCCCTTAACCCCCCATGTTGCATCTCCACTTCTTCGTATCAGGGAGATCATATGATAGTTGTCTTTCTCCGATTGACTTATTTCGCTAAGCATGATACCCTCTAGTTCATCCACGTCGTTGCAAATGGCAAGGTTTGTGGTTTTTTTAAAGATTTTATTTATTTGACAGAGAGAGAAAGGGAGAGAGTGCAAGCAGAGGGAGTGGCAGGCAGAGGGAGAGGGAGAAGCAGGCTCCCTGCTGAACAGAGTTGGATATGGGGCTTGATCAGAGAACCCTGGGATCATGACCTGAGCCAGAGGCAGACGCTTAACCAACTGAGCCACCTAGGGCCCCAAGATAGATGTTTTAATCTTATAGAGGTTGGAAGAAATCTAGGCCCCCCCACTTGAAAGCTCTGAGATGTATTTTTTTTCGGTAGTTAGCGAGGTGATCAGGTTCTGAGAAATTAGTTCACAATAACTATAATGCACACAAATTGGGGTAGAACCAGAATACTAATTTATTCATTTACGATAAGAAATACTGCTGTGACACAGAGTGGAAATCCTCACATACGGCATGATCAACACCTTTGCCCTTGCGTTCAAGCATGTATACTATGTCATGTTCAGAAGTCTCCTAACTAATTTCTTATGAGAGATAGTCACTCTTCTACCAGAGCACAGGAAACTGAGGTTGGAAAGACCCTTGTGGATTCTGGCTTTAAGATACTTGGCCACATGCATTAAGACTGTGAGGAAAGAGGAAGCAAGCATATTTAAATAAGAGCCTGAAACAAAACAGTCCAAAGGTAAATGCTCCAAACTGCAGGTCTGTATTTTGTCAGGAAGCCTTTTCTTACACAGGCAGAAACTGAAGCCAGGAATGTTAATCCAGTCAAAGCCCCTCTAGGTGGAAATCCGAGGCCTGGGAAAATGACAGTTGCCCATCTAAGAGCTGAGTCTATCTTTTAACATGAATAGTTTGTACAACCAGGTAGAAGATGGGATTTGGAACTTGATATTGATTGTTCTTTTGTTCAATTTGCTTTTTTAAATTATTTTGTTACCGTACCATTTGCTGGTGGGTTGCCTAGGTAACTTGATATTGCAAGTGCTTTTAACTCTAAGGCAGTGATGGATATCTGGCAGTCTGTAGGTTTTCCCCCTGGTAGGCTAATAAATTACCTTGATCTTTGGGTTATTTTTCAGTCCACAGTGTTGTGATAGCTTAGCAAAGCATTGCATAACCCTTTGAATATTTGTATAGTTGTGTTAGCCATTTTGTCAAGTCAGGCCAGCTGTTGTAAGGGCTTTTTTTTTTTTTTTAAAGATTTATACATTTATTTTAGAGAGGGGGGAGGGGCAGAGAGCGAGGTAGAGGGAAACTCAAGCCAACTCCACACTGAGCAAGGAGCCTGATGCGGCGCTTAATCTCAGGACCTTGAGCTCACGACCTGAGCTGAAACCAAGAGTCGGGTGCTTAACCAACTGTGCCATCCAGGCACCCCCATTTTATACTTTATGTTTTATAATTTGGACACCTGCATCCTTTGTAGGAAACAAACAAACAAACAAACAAACAAAAACCATGGAAGATTTGAACGGAGAGAAGAGATTTCTAGATATCCTTTTAAGACAATGCTGGAGCCTCTGGAGATACCTTTGGTCCTAAGGGGCTATTTAGGATTTGTCTTGACTAGGCTGTCTTATAACTCTTTAGAGATAGAAGTTAACTTGTTCAACACAAATTGTAAGCAAATTGTTCCTGTCCATAAAAATGTAAAATTTAATTATTACTGTGTGGATGCTGACTGATTTTGTCCATTTTACATCCCTTTGTAAATTCATTTCAGCATTCCTTTCCCAATCATACATGTGTAGCACCTTGAGTTTTCTGTCTTTTGAAAATAAA